TCACTGTGTGGATTACAGCTATTAAGTGCAGAAAATAGGATCCAACCTTCAGTCAGTGTCAAAAATGAGATGCTTTATGTTTCTAGGTGCACAGATGTGCAGATAACTGTGAAAATGAGTGAAAAATCTACAGTTTTTAGATTTAATTATGTTTAATAATACTGCATGAAGGGAAAACTTTTACATAAAAAAAAATACTACAGATTCTTTCCAAAACTCAAGAACTTTGATTGTACAAACAGAATAACTAACTTCTGCTACTTTATTAGATAGAATGACTTATTTTTAGAGTCTGGCGCCCTCTACAGGTGGGTTTCGGTATCATTTTGCTCCAGATGTGAACCCAATTTTTAAGTGTTTTTTTAAATGGATTGTTGTGTTTATACACTTTAAAAAAACAGCCAGCTAACAGCATGAGCTTTAACCAGTTTGGTGTTTTTAGTCCAAGAAAAAAAGGCAAGATAACAGTGAGTAACTGGGTCTCTGAGCCCACCTTGGGGGGAAACTGCTGGGTGACCTCGGGCAGGTAGTGGCTGCCAGCCTTGGACTTCTGGAGAGACACGACCAGGAAGTATTCAAACAGCTTCCGCTGGTGCAGCTCCTGATCCCGGGGGGGGCTGGACCCGTTGTAGTGGAGCCGAGCCGGGCCCGGCTGGCTCAGGATGGACCGGACCGACACCAGCCGCTGCCGGTGGACTGCAGGAGGAGGCGTGTTTCAGCTCCATTAACTCATTGACTGGCAGCCATTTTCAGAACAGAGAGTCCCACACTGCCAGAGTTTTTTGAGCATTTTGACTGATTTTTCAAGAGCCACAGAATCGTTTGTGCTATGACTATGTAAACACCGAACACACCGAAAGAAAGACTAGACTCTCTTCTTTCATCAGGAAAAGAAATTTGTTTCTACCTTATTCCGTTCTTTAGTAATCAGCAGTAGAACATAGGTTGGTTTCAACAAAAACACCAGTTTTTGACCAATAAATGGAGAAAACAAGCTTTTTGTGAAAAGATACAGTTCAAGCAGAGAAGTGTCTTTGATGCTATCGGGACACCAACCGAACTACTGCGATTGCAACACAAACTCTGTTTGAGTGTGAGTTTCCTTAACTTCCTCGACTTGCGTCTCACCGGCGACATGTTCTCTCATAGCGAACCGTTACCTTTTACTTATTTGCCTACAGTCTATGCTCATCTCCCATCAAAAGTGGCACTGCCCCCTAGAGGGTCAATTTGTTACTACATACTCTGTCTAGAAGCCGATATTTACGGACAAGCTTTAGCAGATCGTCCCCCAGCCACTCTCGTTGAGAAACATAAAAGACGTCTATAGACGTCTTTGGCAGCCAATGAGTTAAGCATCCCAGAGTGACATAACGGCTTTTTTATGGACGCCTTACCTTTGGATCTCTCCTCGATTTCACTCTCGGAGTCGCTGTTTTCATCGGTGACTGTCGGAGAAAACACACCAGAACCGTGAACCCGCTGACAGAGATCCCAGAGAGTTCCCAGATAGTTCCCAGGCAGTCTCACCTCTCCCAGAGCTGGTCTCTGCATAATGATAGATCCGTCTCAGGTGTTTTTTCCGGGTCCGAGCCTCAAATATGCTGTTGATCCGCAGCACGGCCTGCAGAAAAAACATCATCCTCACTGAGTTTGGAGGCTAAAACTGCAGAGGGTTAGGGTCAGGGTTAGGGATAGGGTCAGGGTGAGGGTTAGGTTTAGGGATAGGGAGAGGTTTAGGGTCAGGGAGAGGGTTAGGGTTGGGGATAGGGATAGGATCAGGGATATGGATAGGGAGAGGGATAGGGATAGGGTTAGGGTTAGGGTCAGGGAGATGGTTAAGTTAGGGATAGGGTCAGGGTTAGGGATAGGATCAGGGATAGGGTCAGGGTTAGGGATAGGGTCCGGGATAGGGTCAGGGTTAGGGTCAGGGTTAGGGTCAGGCATAGGGTTAGCGATAAGGTTAGGGTTAGTGTTAGGGATAGCGTTAGGGTAAGGGATAGGTTTAGGGAGAGGGATATGGTTAGGGTCAGGGATAGTGTTAGCTTCAGGGTGAGGGTTAGGTTTATGGATAGTGTTAGGGTGAGGGTTATGGATATGGTTAGGCATAGGGTTGGGTCATGGTTAGGGTCAGTGTTAAGGATAGGGTCAGTGTTAGGGTTTCCCCTACAGACCGTGGGGATCCTCCTGCGGCTGTACGGGTCCCCGGGCGTCCAGCCGCTGGGCTCCGGCCCGGTGGGGGTGGAGGGCCGGCTGAGCTGGGGTGGAGACGGGAGGCCCCCCCCCCCACCGGGGACCAGGACCCCGCCCCCCCCACCCCCCCCACCGGGGGCCCTCCTCATGTCCAGGAACCTGAAGCTCCGGGCCGAGTTCTGCCTGAAGAAGCCGGGTCTCGATGCCTTCCGGGAACAAAAAAACGACAGTCGTCTGGATCTGGCCTTAACATCTGGATCTGGCCTTAACACCTGGATCTGGCCTTAACATCTGGATCTGGCCTTAACACCTGAAACTGGCCTGAACATCTGGATCTGGCCTGAACATCTGGATCTGGCCTTAACATCTGGATCTGGCCTTAACATCTGGAACTGGCCTTAACATCTGGATCTGGCCTTAACATCCGGATCTGGCCTGAACACCTGGATCTGGCCTTAACATCTGGAACTGGCCTTAACATCTGGAACTGGCCTGAACATCTGGATCTGGCCTTAACATCTGGATCTGGCCTGAACATCTGGATCTGGCCTTAACATCCGGAACTGGCCTTAACATCTGGGTCTGGCCTTAACACCTGGAACTGGCCTTAACACCTGGAACTGGCCTTAACATCTGGATCTGGCCTTAACATCTGGGTCTGGCCTTAACATCTGGATCTGGCATTAACATCTGTATCTGGCCTTAACATCTGGAACTGGCCTTAACATCTGGATCTGGTCTTAACATCTGGAACGGCCTCGTGGGTACTTCATGAACCTTGGAATTGTCGGCTCCGGGAGAGGAGGGTAAGGACTGCTGAGAGCTCTGGCTCTCCAGCTCCACGTCCTCGTACGGATTCTCCTTTGATGAGTCTGCAGAGGGTCCAAAAGGAGGGTATTTGTCATTTTTCACACCTTAAACAAACAATCTGCTCCTTAAGTCAAAGGGGCACCATTTCACTGATATTTAATTAATACAATTTGAGCAATTTTTATAGCACTGAAATATGTTTGTCACTTTAAATGCTGTGAAAAAGCACAAACAATCAGGACTTAATGAGACAACGCTTGTTGCTAAGAAATTTGGTTAAAAAATAGGTCAGGATTTAACAAAGAAAATTATATTTCAGAGAATTTTTTTCTTTTTTATAAAGGTTTGCCACTTTGTAAGAGCATATGTGTTGTTTCACCCTTAGGGTAATATATATATATATATATGTATCAGTGTAACAGTGTCCTGTTAAAAAAAAAAAGTTTTATGTGTAAAATATCCTAAAAATGTAAGTTTTACATCACAAAATTATGTGTTCATTACTAAAACATTCCAAAAATTCCACTTTTCCACAAAAAATTATGTTATTCTCAGTAAAACATCCCCAAAATGTAACTTTAATATAAAAAACTTGTGTTTTTCTGTTTAAAACATCCAAAAATGTTGTATAACCATTTAATGATTCTGTTTTTCTGGGGGAAAAAAACGTATGTAGGTAAACTTTTCAGTAGTTTCATTCAAGGCTGTAAAGGAAACATAGGAACACATAAATAAACTCTGAGGAGGAAAGTGCCTGACCCAGGATGTCTTCATAATGATGCTCCTGACACAGAGGGATGCCGGACTCTGTGAGGTCCTCCAGCTCAAAGGGACGCCTGCCAGGGACCAGAAAAACAAAAATCATCACAGTGCTTTTTCCCACAGAGCTGCTTTACATGCACAAACGAGCACATGAGGAGTAAACTGTCTGTTTATTAGCGCCTCACACAGAACAGGCTAAAAAAGCCACCTTTTTTAGGGATTTTTAAAAAAAAGTCTTAGGAAATAGTTTTCTCCTTGATTTTTTTTTTTTTTTTTTACTGGTTTCCATTCCCCTCCTGGTGCCGTTTTCAGTGCTTTTAGCTAAAAAAGATAACCTCTGATCACTAAATAACGGGCAGAAACGGTTTTCCAGTTTCTGTTATTGTTCTTCATCTACAGCCAGTTCTCCTCAGCTCAGACCACATATTCTTCCTAAGCCCTGCCGAGTTAAACCAACACCTCTCTGCATCGGCATCCTGTCCTTTTAACAGGTTTCTGCCTGTTAAAAGGAAGTTTTTCCTTGCCTGTGTCGCCTAGTGCTTGCTCATGGTGGGAATTGTTGGGTTTCTGTAATTAACTTCAGAGTAGGGTCTGACCTGCTCCGTTTGGAAAGCGCTGTGAGACAACTGTTGTTGTGATGTGGCGCTATATGAATAAAATTGAATTGAATTGAATTTAATTGAAAATCAGCAAGGGGTCAAATACTTATTCCCCCCACTGTATAAGGCCCGTGTACCCGTTGGTGTTGACCTTCGGTCGGCCGTAGAATCCGGACGGAGGCTTGGAGGAGGATTTGGAGGAGGATTTGGAGGAGGTGGACGGCAGCGGGGGGAGGTTCCTCTGCCCGCCCCCCCCCCTGGGGCCCCTCCCCGGGGGGGGGGAGGCCGGATGCTGGAAGGTGCGTCTGGGTTTGGGGACGGGGTTTACGGGGGGCGACCCGGGCTCCGTGTACAGGTTCTCCCCGCCCGCCTGGTACCCGCACCGAGCTGAGACCTCCGGGTCCTTCCTCCGGTTCTCCGGGTCCTTCCTCTTGTTTTCCGGCCTGTTCGGGGGGCTGAAGTAGTTCCCCAGCTCCCGGGGGCTCTTCCCGGGCGTCTCCCCCATGGCCTCCAGCTTTCGGAACAGGGTGAACACAGCCCTCTTTTCCTGGTTTTTTGCCTTCCTGAGCGTCCCGACTGGAGGCCTCTCACTCACCGGGGGCGAGCCGGGCCTGGAATCCCTCTGGTTTTCCAGGTTTTCCTTCTCCTGATCGAGCTTTTCTCTCCGGTTTTCCAGGTTCTCCTTCTCCCGATCGAGCTTTTCTCTCTGCTTTTCTCTCTTTCCGGCCACAGCCGGGGAGCAGGGCCTCGGATCCCTCAGGTTTTCCAGGTTTTCCTTCTCCTGATTGAGCTTTTCTCTCTTCCCGGCCACAGCCAGGGAATCGGGCCTGGAATCCCTCGGGTTTTCCAGGTTCTCCTTCTCCTGATCAAGCTTTTCTCTCTGCTTTTCTCTCTTCCCGGCAACAGCCGGGGAGCAGGGCCTGGAATCCCTCGGGTTTTCCAGGTTTTCCTTCTCCTGATCGAGCTTTTCTCTCCGGTTTTCCAGGTTCTCCTTCTGCTGATCGAGTTTTTCTTTCTGCTTTTCTCTCTTCCCGGCCACAGCCGGGGAGCAGGGCCTCGGATCCCTCAGATTTTCCAGGTTTTCCTTCTCCTGATTGAGCTTTTCTCTCTTCCCGGCCACAGCCAGGGAATCGGGCCTGGAATCCCTCGGGTTTTCCAGGTTCTCCTTCTCCTGATCGAGCTTTTCTCTCTGCTTTTCTCTCTGCTTGTCTTTCTTCCCGGCCACATCCGGGGAGCAGGGCCTCGGATCCTCCGGTTTTCCTACGTTTTCTTTCCCCGGATTGTCCCCCCTGCTTCGGGGGAAGGAGTCGGCCCTCCTCAGGCCCAGAGCCGCGCAGCTCACAGGTGGATGGGGGCTTTCCTTTTCCTCCCAGAGGGAAATCTTGTCCCTGATGGTGCCTCTGCTGGACCTGGAGTTTTTGGCTCTTCCCATGAGTCCGCCCTCGTTCACCAAAGGGTCCCAGGTCTCCCTGTGATCCATCCCAGCCCCCCCCTGCTCCTCCTTCTTATTGCTCAGGTCCACTAAAGGGGTCAGAGGGGCTTTTGGTGTCCTCTCTGCTTGCTTTTGCTCTGAAGCGACTCCCCTGCTACGACAGCCCTTCTTTAGCCTAAAAACGCAAAAAAAAAGAGACAAAAACACACTGTTACTGGTTCAGATTCAGAGCTACATGTTTTAAAGCCATCAGAGCTGCTGAGGAAGGTAGAAAATTTTGGGAAAAGCTCCTGAACTTTGCACAGGATCTGTGGGACTGGCAGTTTGGGGACACTCAGTCTTTCTTTAGTGACAGTGGGAAAACTGAGCCTGAGAGGGAATGCCAGAGGACGAGGATCTTCTTCTCATCGGCTTTGCTAAATAAACACACACTTGGACGGGGGCCAGTTTCATCGGCCTGTAAGGTTTTAATAAATAAACGAGAGGAAATGGGAAACCCAAAGTTGAAAGACCTTCCGTGGACGTGATGATTAAAGGGCAGCTAAATGTGGCTTGCTTATTTCTCAGACTCTCTAAAGTAGATCATTCTGGCTAAACTTAGATACAGATTTATACTTCTATGAATGTAAAATCATGTCTTTTAAAAGCAACACAGAAACCAAACGTTAGGAAACTCGAGCAGAAGAGATTATAAGGTTCAGAGACTCAGATGAGGAGAAACCTGCATATGCTTATGAGTTTTAAAAGCTGAGCTCATGTGTGGAAGTTCACATATTCAGGGAAGCATTAAAGACAGATATGATGTAAAACTGGAAAAGAAGCAGAATGGAACGACTGGTGAACAGATCGCGGATCTTTTGGGTTTTTCTAGTGAAACGGCCCATTTGACGACTTAAAAAAAAACAGATGGGAGTTACTTTATGTTTGGATTAAAAAAGTATTGAATTACTTTTTATAAGTTGTGAAAAAATTATCTTTTTTTGTTTCAAAAAGTGCTCCAAGGCTTTTAAAAGATCACCATTGATGGAGATTCTGCTTCTGTTTGGGGCTTAATGTCACTGATGTGGGGAAAGCTGTTTGGTTTTTGCTGGTTTTCTGGTGTTGTGCACCTCCGGGCCACCGTACAAACCTGTTCACTGTGGAGTAGACGCAGTCCGTCTTTGACATTCTCTCAAAGGCCTCCATGATCCCTGAACACCTGCAAGAAGGGGACACAAAAGCTTTCCCGGTCAGCATCTTTCCCTCTCTCATATTCACATTTCCTCTCAGGACTCGAGGGACAGCTGGGCAGACTCAAGAAAAAACCGGACAGGGCAACTCCCTCATGCGTTCAACCTTTCACTCAGCGGCCATTTGGGAGCTCTTACACGACCAAAATCGCTCTCCTCTCCCTTCTGCTTCCTCCGGCCCTCCGTCTTCTGCCACTTTGTCCTGACCTTTGACCCCCGAGTGGCTCGAATGCTCCGCATACTTTCACATGTCTCCGAGTCCAACGTCTCAAAGTTCAGCGTCCTCCTAGATAGCGCGCGGTAATTTCCCAGATCTGGGGCTGCTGTCATCGTCTGTTTAGCCACAATGACAGCGGATGGGGGGGGGGGCTCCATTGCCTCTGGAAGCCGAAAGCTGGCTGATAAAATATAAAATCCACCCCAAAAAATCCACTCACATCTAGATGTGTTGGTGCTAGGGGATTGAGAACAACAAACCACACAAAAAGAAGTAGTCTCCATCCCACAGGAGGCTGTTTCCTGTTCTAACAGCGGATCCTTTCCCCCACAAATGGATCCTCACAGTTTTACATTAGATTAGATCTGATTCTGAGATGATTCTTTTTGTTTCCTCTAATGAAGACAAGCCGAGAGGCAACATGATCCACAACCAAATGACAAAGTTAGATCCGTTTCTTACCTCCATCCTTTGCACACTTTCCATGTGCTCGATAATAAAAAGGGAGCCTATTGCATCTGTAGAGTCCCTAAGCGTCTCCATGGCGTCTGTATTTTAAATCCGGTCTGAAACAGGTTTTCCGCGTGGATCTAAACCCTCTGCAGATGTTTCATCAAGTCCACCTTGAAGAGTTTGCTCTGCTATCTCTGTCTCTTCTCCAGTCTCCGGCTTTCATTTGCCCTCACTCTCCTCTCCCTCCGGACTCGACTTCCTCCCTCTCTTACTCCATCTGCCCCTCTCACAGCCGACTTAAGGATCAAGCAGAATGAATTAACGTCTGACGAGATTGACCGGAACTACCCAAACACCGCTTTTTATTTATCCAATGGCTGCATGAAAATCAGCAACACATGGGACTCGCATTGTCCTGATAAATCATTCCCCTAACCTGAGATGTATATCCTCACTGTCTCTCTGTCTCTGAGCTTTGCAGCTGCAGCCTGTCCGCCCAACCCCCAGTAGGAGAACTCCTTTCTTACTTTTTTATCGTAGTCTTGTACCTAAACACAATGTAGATGTTGAGCTATGTTGCACTGAACATGGTCTTTGAAATGAAAAGATATGTTCTTAGTAACATTTTAAATAAAACAACGACAATATTATTGTCCATTCAAATTGTAATAGTCCATGCTATTCAAACACACAGACACACACACACACACACACACACACACACATATATATATATATATATAAAGTTGGGAAAAAAAGGCAGCAAAGTGGTTTTAGAGGCTTACCAGAGTTACAGTAGTGGTTCAGTGTGGTGTGTCAGGCTTTTAGTGAGTGGAGTTTTGGCGGTGGGCTTTTTAAACTGCTGTAAAAATGTGCTTACAAGCCAATAGGAGTTGGGGCTACATCGACAAGTGTCTAAAAGCAACAGGTGAAATCCGAGCAGCTGTTCGTGAAGCCGCTTGGTCTGCGCGCTTTTCCCAGTTTTTTTTTTTCTCCTGCAGTTCCACTCCCGGCCGGCAGGGGGCGGCGGGGGGGCGCTGCGAAAGCGAAACGGCATAGAGCAGAAACACAGAGTAAATAGTAAACACAAACAAGAGCAAGCTAGCTATCAGAGCCTGGCGCGGAGAGGTGAGCCTCCCTG